AGGGAAAATCCTCAGCCAGGATGTGAGGGACACATTCCATGAGGCTCTAAGGCACTCGGGATGCTGGCTGCAGTGCACTGACCACACATGGGTATAAACCAGGAAGCATCACCTGATCCTCAAGACCTTGGGATGGCCAAGGACAAACAAGGGATGCAGGTGGAGCTGGGACTGATGCAGAGGAGAGGTCACTGCTGCAAACACAACACTGTTTCTGTATAGAGCTGTACTTGTGCAAACCTCATCCCAGACTCCTACCCAATTTACCTGGAAAAATGTTATTCTAGAGGACAGTTTGGAACAATAATTCTGTGGACAGGTTGGACACAGGGACTTGGAGCAACCTGCTCTAGTGGAAGGTGTCCCTGCCCGGGGCAGGGGTTGGAGCTGGAGGAGCTTTAAGGTCCCTTCCAACACAAACCATTCCATAATTCCATGGTTCTATGACAGGGAACAGTAGAGCAGATGGAGCTGTTACCTCCAAACCAGGCCCCCTGCCCTCCCTCACCAGCCAGGCCCCAAAGCTTTCCTCCCTTCCCCACCCCAAGGCTCCCAGGTCGAGGAGCTGCCCCTGGCTCAGCCCGGATCCAGCTGGAGCACCCGCTGTGCCGGTGCTCACCTTATGGAACCTGATGACGGGCTCGGGATGGATGCGGATGATGTGCAGGCACCAGCGGTAGCCCTGCAGCAGCTGCGCAAAGAGGCGGAGGAAAACAGCACGGATCTCCTTGTCCTGTGAACAGGGAAGGACAGAGTGGTCACAGCACGGTCACAGCGTGGTCAGGCTGAGGGTGCAGGTGATCCAGCTCATGGGGGTAGGAGCTTACAGCAGCACAGAGGTGAAGGGATCAAACCTCGTGTCAGGGTCAGTGTCTGCAGAGCAGGGCAGGAAGCTCAGCAAATAACAAGGAAAAAGGGACCGAGCAGGATGGGTTCACTGCTCTATGACTCCCTGCTCTGGAGCCAGGCTGAGAGAGCTGGGCTGGGGCAGCTGGAGAAGAGAAGGCTCCTCAAGGGGACACCTCAGAGCAGCTCCAGTGCCTAAAGGGGCTCCAGGAAACCTGGAGAGGAGCTTTGGACAATTGATGCAGGGACAGGCCAAGGGGAATGGCTTTAACCCGATGGAGGGGAGATTGAGATGAGCTCTTGGGCACAAGCTCTTCCCTGTGAGGGTGCTGAGGCGCTGGCACAGGGTGCCCAGAGAAGCTGTGGCTGCCCCAGCCCTGGCAGTGTTCAAGGCCAGGTCGGACACAGGGGCTTGGAGCAACCTGCTCTAGTGGAAGGTGTCCCTGCCCACGGCAGGGGTTGGAGCTGGAGGAGCTTTAAGGTCCCTTCAACCCAAACCAGGCAGGGGTTCCATGGTTCTGTGTCCCCTTCACAGCCCCCGCCCAGTGCTGCACACAGAGGACAAGGCAGCTCTCACAGACCCAGGGTTTTCTGGAGAGCCCAAGTGTTTGGTGTCCTCCTTCAGTAAACCCAGCAGTTACCAAAATGGCACGACTGGTTCCAGGCCAAGGCTCGGGGCTGTGGTCTCAGTGCCCTGCAGTCCTGTGCTCTCTCTGCCTCTTAACCTCAGCAGCACTGAGATGGAGACATGCTGAAATCCCGCCTGCCCTCTCCCTGCCTAGAAACAGGGTGTCCCTCAGGAAGGGAACTGTCACAGGAGGGTGCCCCCCTCCCAGCTCCACTCACCTGCATTTTGAGAGAAGAGACAGAAATTGTTGAAGGGGGGAATGCGAGATCTGCCACCTCCAGCTCTGGGTCCAGGACCTGCACAGACAAGGCACAAATCACCCTCAGGGACCTTTACCTTCACAGCTGGAAAAAGCAAAGCAGCGTTGGGGAGACCTTCTACCAGTCTTCCAGTGCCTAAAATGGCTACAAGAAACCTGAAGAGGGGCTTTGGACAAGGGCCTGGAGGGACAGGACAAGGGGAATGGCTTTAACCTGCCAGAGGGGAGATTGAGATGAGCTCTTGGGCACAAGCTCTTCCCTGTGAGGGTGCTGAGGCGCTGGCACAGGGTGCCCAGAGAAGCTGTGGCTGCCCCATCCCTGGCAGTGTTCAAGGCCAGGTTGGACACAGGGACTTGGAGCAACCTGCTCTAGTGGAAGGTGTCCCTGCCTGGGGCAGGGGTTGGAGCTGGAGGAGCTTCAAGGTCCCTTCCAACACAAACCAGTCTGGGGTTCTGTGATTCCACAGGGACCCAACAGCACCCAAAGCACAGGTCTGAGGGTGTGGAAATGAACAGGGCTGGAACCAGCAGACAGCAGCAACACTGGTGCTCTGCTTTGGAGGGCAGTGGGAAGGGGGCACCTCTCCAGCTCTGCGATGGTCACTGGAGGGCTGGGGCTGCGGCGGAGCAGCAGGAGCTGCGGATGCAGCACGTGTGTGGTGCAGCTGCCCTGGGCACGCTCCACTGGCCACAGGGCCCTGGGAACACAGCAGCAGCAGGAAAGCTCCAGGGCTGCAGCTGCTTCCTCCCATACACGGGCTGGGAGCCAGCACCCCATTCCCAGAAACCTTTGGCAGCAGAACCCCCCTCCAGCACTGCCACGCACCAGCAGCCGTCAGCAGAGGGACAGGTCTCCTGTGAGATGGCCAGTGGGACACAGAGGTACAGACTTCTGCTCTCCCTGCTGCTCCATTCCCAGCTCCCCCTGGAAAGACTTGTCATTCCCAAGGTGCTGGCACCCCACTGACAGGACAAAGGGACATACTCACCATGGAGAGGGCTTCCCGGGTCTGCTGGAGCAGGGGCTCAGGGAGCAGGGAGATGTGCACACACTCAGGGACATTCACTGTCCCACCATCCAGGTCTGCAATGACAACATCCAGCTGGAAGAGGCAGGACAAGGCATGAGACAAGGCCAGGCTCTGCTGCATCCTCCCCACCACCTCCCGTGGGCCACAGGGAGCTACCGGGGGGAGCCCAGCTCAGGACTGGGGCTTGGGAATGGTGTGTGTCCCCTCTCCATCTCCTGTGGGCACTCTAAGCCTCCAGTAGTTACGTTCTTTATCCACTGTCACCAAACCCAAGCATTTGCCAATGCATAACCTACAAAGGGATCCCATCACCCTCCAGTGACAGGGGAGGAAAACATGGCAGGGGGGACACAGCTCTGCTCAGCACACACCAGACTGTGGCTTGGTACCTTCTATCAGCCCCTGGCCCTGCTTGACCACAGCAGCACGATGGGGGTTGTTCAGAGGCTGCAGAGAAGCTGTTGCAGTTGGGATCAGCCCCATTACGCTTAGATTTCACTCAGCTTCTGCAGCCTCAAGTGCCAGCACGGCCTCTCGGAGCAGTGCTCAGCTCCAAAAGCACTTCCCTGGCTGATCCCAAGCTTGGCACAGCCAGCCCAGTTCGGCTGGCACGGCACGGCTGGAGCACAGCCCGGGCTGGCTCAGCAAGCCAGGCCTGAGCAGGCTCAGCCTAAGGACAGCGGCTGCTGCTGGCTGAGAGAGCTGGAGCTCGACCCCTGCTCCTCCCTCCCAATCCTGATCCCGGTGCAGAGAACAGGGGTCCCGATGTCTCACCAGTTCCTGCGTCTCCGACTGGAAGATGGAGTGCACGCCAATAATGAAGGGTGTTGGTGTGCTCAGCACCTCCAGGAGCTGCGCGGGCAGGATGGGCACATACGTGAAGCTGTAACCGAAAGAACATCTCTGCAGCCAGTGAAACCCTGCTCTGAACCTGTCCTCAGCACTGCTGAGCCCACCTCTGGAGGTGCAGCTGTTGGCAGGTCTTCCCCCAGCACCCTCAGACATAGAACCCCAGCCTGGTTTGGGCTGGAAGCAACCTTACAGCTCCTCCAGCTCCAACCCCTGCCCCGGGCAGGGACACCTTCCACTAGAGCAGGTTGCTCCAAGCCCCTGTGTCCAACCTGGCCTTGAACACTGCCAGGGCTGGGGCAGCCACAGCTTCTCTGGGCACCCTGTGCCAGCGCCTCAGCACCCTCACAGGGAAGAGCTTCTGCCCAAGAGCTCATCTCAACCTACCCTCTGGCAGGTTAAAGCCATTCCCCTTGGTCTGGCCCTGAGCACCTCCATAGCAGAGCTGCTCCAGTCCTCGCAGCAGCTCCATGGCCCAAACAGTGGGTAAATAACTGTGGTTTAGGCCCTGCTGGCGAAGGGGCAGGTAGATGAATGCTCACAGGCCTTGGCTGTGCTGACAGCTCCTTCCCTGACACCTCTGACGTGCAGAGCAGTGTAATTCCAGTGTCCACAGCAGTGAAGAGGCGTGAACCTTCCACCCCTGCCTCTATGGCAAGCCTGGGGCTCTAGCACTGGAAGCAGGGACCGAGGCATCACCAGCAGTGTCTGTAGCTCCAGGAGCTGCTGCCATGTGCTGTTTCAGGCCATAGAAATCCCTGACAGAGGGATGCAGCCCACCAGGCTATGGAATGTGGTCCAGCAGAGCATGATCACACCATGGAGCTTATCTCTCCAGAATCCATCCCATTCCCCTTCTCCCAGTTGCATTACAGAGCACAGAGACCCAGTGCACCACTTCCACTGGCAGCCCTCCATCCCAGCCCTGCGTGTGACACTGAACCAGGACACTGGGGAGCTTCCAGAAAGCCCTGGTGCAACCTCTGCCGGCCCTAGACGGGGCCAGGCACATACAGGGCTCTTGTTAGGTGGTAGCCAAGCCACTGTGGTGGCTCCTGTGGATGCTGGCACCCACTCACCAGCCCTGAGGAGCTGGGGCTGCTGTTGGCCCCAGGGAGGGGACACCAGACCATAGGCTGGCCACCATCGGGGCTGTCTGCATGTCCCCCAGGTAGGACAGCTCGGATAGATGGGCCATTGTGCTGCAGCTCCTTTTGTGCTGTATCCATGCTGGGCTGCAGTACCCCCACCTGCAAAAAGGCTGCTTGTATCCCAAAGAAAGCTTCCTTTAGAACTTCAACTGCTCTGCTGGAAACCTTTCCCTTGGTTGGACTAAGAGTGTAACTCCAGGGCCAGACAATGATCATGGTCAGTGTCCATGAGCCTTCAGGAACGTTGTGAGGCTGTAGGACACGTCCTGTCTGAGAGAAGGACTGCCAGCAGGCTGAGAGCTGGGCTGGGTCAGCCTGGAGAAGGCTCCTGAAGGGGACACCTTAGAGCAGCTCCAGGGCCTAAAGGGGCTCCAGGAGACCTGGAGAGGGGCTTTGGACAAGGGATGTAGGGAGGGGACAAGGGGAATGGCTTGAACCTGCCAGAGGGGAGATTGAGATGAGCTCTGAGGCAGAAGCTCTTCCCTGTGAGGGTGCTGAGGCGCTGGCACAGGGTGCCCAGAGAAGCTGTGGCTGCCCCAGCCCTGGCAGTGTTCAAGGCCAGGTTGGACACAGGGGCTTGGAGCAACCTGCTCTAGTGGAAGGTGTCCCTGCCCGGGGCAGGGGGTTGGAGCTGGAGGAGCTTTAAGGTCCCTTCAACCCAAACCAGGCTGTGGTCATTCCATGATGCTGGGGCTACAGCCAGTCAGCAGCTCTTGGTGGCTGTGGAGGGCTCAGGGTGCTCTGGTGCCCTCACCTGTACTTGAGGGGGAACATGAGTGCGAGCAGGGCCCGGCAGGCGTCCGTCAGCCGCTGGTAACTGCTGGACAGAAACAGGATCTTGTGCTCGGTCAGCGCGGCGCAGAACAGGTACAGCACGTTGGTGATGCCTGGCAGAAAGCAGAGGAGAGCGCTCAGAAACAAAGGGTCCCCTCCTGCCCCCACCAGAGAGCACTGACACCCCCCCGGGGGGAGGCCCCTCCCCATCTCCATGCTCTGCATCACACAGGAGCTCAAGGTCCTCCCAGAGAGTCAGTTCTGGGATGTGCCTCCCAATGGAAGCCCCTCTTCTGGGACGGGTGTGTTCTTGAGCTGCTGGTGTCCTCAGTCAGAGGCACAAGGCCAATGGCAGACTACTCTGG